AGTTCAGGGCTAATCTGAGTCCTTCGATGACTCCAGGGATTGAGCCTCCGTTCCTCCTTCTGGATCCCAAGGGCACAGTGACTACGGCCGGGATGAGCTCGGGCACCAAAAATCCTCTTTATTCCAACAACAAAAAACCAAATGTATCGACTTTGGGGTATGTTCACTAATACTTCAATCAACTTGGGGCGCAGGTGACAGTGTCCAGGACAGCGGTTACACGAGTGTCGGTCTCTTCGTTTTCTCCGTAATTCGTGGGGGTTCGTCAGGTGCCGCAGTCCTTCGGGTTGGAATTCGGGAGCAATCGGGGCCAATCAGTACGGGTGAGTGGTGACGATGACCACAATCCAGGGATGTCTCGCTGGGATCGTCGAAGGCGGTGGGTTGCCGAGGCCCATGTATGGGTGGTTTGTGGGGGGAGCAACGGCTCCTGCAGATTATCCGGTAGGGCCGGAACTGTTGTCTTTCTTCGGCTGGTGTCTTCGTGATGTCCAGTGGCGGGAGTAGAGGGGCGATGAGGGGAAGATCGAGGGAAGGGGTATCCAACGGTGGCGGGATTTTAGTAATTAGGGGGCAGTGTGTAGTTGGGCAAAGTGTAATCAAAAACAAATAAAAATAAAGAATCGCCTCGTCACAGTTGATATCGTCAATTCCCACCTGCACTGTTAAAAAAGTCCACTGATAAATTACCACACGTGTAGGCAGTCATTTACACTAGACTGTGTGGGTAATTTCTGTCTTTGGAAACCCTGTGCCCAATACTGTATGGTTAATTCACAATACCTTGCCGTGGTACACATATCAATGGAAGTCGTACACAAGTATAATCATTTTACTAGAAATTATTATAGTAAATTTAGTTGTGTTTCATTGCACTTTTAATGTCCTAATTATGTAAATTTCGTCTACATTTACGTAATTATTTTATAATTAGCGTTACAATAATTCACAATAAAGTATGATAAATTTACAATACATTTCCATGGCATACGGGATGGTAAAAGTTACACGCTACGATTGTAATTTTTGCACATACAATCATATTAAGTTTAGTTCTCATTGATTACACTTTCAAAGTTCTGCTACCGTAGAATCTGATTCCGCTGATATAATTATTTTACCATTGGTGGTTAATGAATTCACAGCAGTGACGCACATTTTTGGGATGCGGATGAATAAGAAAACGGCTCATGTGTATGATAAAACTATATGATATATCACTGGAATTTCAATGACTGCCTTGTGATTTTCGAAAACATTTTGCTATAATCAACGGTGTAATGTATTGCAAACAGCGATTACAGTAAATGAATTTTATTAGAGGAAAATTACAAGATTAAATTGCAAAGTACGCGAATTTCGATATATTGATGCATTGTAATTTTACCTTGCATGATTGGTATCCTACAACAGTAGTATATGCCTTTATTAAGTAGCATATGTATGAATTTTCAATTTCAAATGTATCATAAAAATCTTTCTAGTACGTTTTTACAAGAACGGTGCATTCCAATATCAATGGCTACGTACGACAATTTTTCTTTGAAACATGAAATTTTTTGGGCATATCTCATTTAAAGAGACAAATCCATGCATTCAGTAACAGGATCATGTAGGATTAGGAGATTCAGATGAAAGAAACTTTCCATGTGTTCTTCACTTTCGTTTGTAAAAAAGTCTTCAAAAAGATAATCAATAGAATGCCATCGATTATGGAGATTGAGTGTTGAGTGTTCGACGAAGTTTACAAAGTTATTGCTGATAGTGCCTCGTTCAGTATGTTTATCAATTTCAACACCTTCGGATTGTAGGAGGTTTGCTTCCTTTTCTTACATTTCCGCTTACTTCCCTCCGGTGGATTGATGAGGATTATAAACCTGAAGATAAAAAAACATTTTAACGGGGATTAGGCTTCGTCTGTTGCTGCATATTTGCAATACTCATAAATCTTCCTTATTTACGAAGAAAAAATTTAGTTTCACTAGGCTAAAGAAATGAATTTATAAGCCGGTAATCCTGACTGGGGTTACTTGGCAATTCAATATTCATACAAAATGAAACTTTCATTGAATTTTCATAGGGAATTTGAGAGTGAATTTCTGTGGTTCCCGGTAGCTTAGTCGATAAGAGTGCCCGGCGCGTATCTGGGAGACCCGGGTTCGATTCCCGAGTGGGTGAAGCGGAAATTTTTTCTCTAAATTTTAATTCTCTTAGAATTTTTTTTTTCAATTATGAATCAATTATGAATGAATAATTAGTTATTCCGTATCATTACCACGTTTCTAACAGATAATCTGGTATGAATGATGAATTCTCCGACCGATTCATTTCTTGGTCTGTCATATTTGCTCACAATTGTTTTTCCATGATGGGTCACCCGCCACTAATACCTAATTGTTTCATGAATCTCTTCATATCTAATTCTTAGCAAACAGGTATCTAATTAAGAGTATATCTATGAAGTTGCAGATATTTTGCACACGGACTCTCAAATGGATCCAATAATGTGTCTAATACCCTCATATTAATATATGTATATAGAAAATGTCAAGGAAATTCACCTTTGAATGAACTCCAGCGTACATTGCAATTCCTTTGGATACTTGCACCCAAAAATAAAGTAACATAGGAAAGTCAGCAGGAAACCGTCGAGGATATTTCCCACTTTTATTTCAAATGCCTTCTCCAACAAAACTGAACACGAGGCAGTCTCGTCGTAGAGGGAAGTCCCTGCAATCAAGCCACAAAGTAGCACAATAAATAATGCGATCATATTTATTTCCAAATTTTGGTTGAAATTATATGAGAGCTACTGATGCGGTATTATGAGGTATTATTTCCTAGCTCATATTTGTTATTGTTATATAACTTGTTTTGTGCTCCGCCTTTCTTTGGAATTTAATTGAAAAAAACATTAGTTCTTGTGTCTTCTGATACATGCCAAGTTATCTTTGTTATGTATCTGAAATCGTCAAACCACGATCATAATCTTGCTCGGCTGGATTAAATCGTGGTTTTCGGTCATCTAGACGTACAATATCATGTCACATGGCAATTGAAGTATTTTGTTACGAGTGTAATTTTATAACCAGAGCCGAATGGCATAATGCACTATTTCTGATAAATGGATGGCAAAATCTGAAATTGTTGAACTTCACGATACTCTCCCATCATCATTTTACCATCATCATTTTAATTCATCTCTATTCATTAAAGGATTATGAGAAATTTATTCACCGAAAAAATGGACAAAATTAATTTAATTGTATGTTCATAACCACACCACAATAACTTGAGCACTAAGAATCTAATCTCCAAAAGTATTTATCAGAAAACTGGACAGTCATGACTGTTCTTAATTAAAAATATAATCATGTGCTATTTCAAGGTTGTTACAGCGTACGATGATTCCAGATTGAAATTGTATAAAATATTTGGCAGGAGAGAGATTTGACGTATTTTGATTGACAAATTCTATATTCATCATCACATACTATTAAAATTGGGTGGTGCCAGATGGTATGACCGTTGTGGTCTTTTACCTACCCGTCCCAGTACCTACGCGGTACCCCAGCCTAATTCCCTACCCGCACTTGCCTCTAAGCTAACTTATATCTAACTCCACATAACTAACTCCACATGCACTGGGTTCGTTTTCCGGCGATGAAAAAATCTTTCATCACCGGGACTCGAACCTGCGCTACTGGGACGCTTTGGTTTATAGGGCCAGCACGCTAACGACGAGCTCAAAGACGTCCCTATCACATACTATTATTTCATAGCGAAGGATTTTCATAAATGCTAATTTCGGAATATGATTGACAAATACGGAATACTAAAAAATGTTCCGAGATGCAGGTGACGGCTTAATGACCTTCCTTATTAGTTTTTCGAAAATGTCGGAAAATGTACAAGTAATCGATCGTGTACAACTTGAGAATTTAATCATTAACCGGAGAATAACACTTTAATCATGACTCTCACAAAGACTCAAAAATAGTCTTCTTTACTGTGAGTACATTTATTCCTTGAGAAGAATAATTATTTCTTAACATGAAAATAGAGACCCCAATTACCCCATGGAATTGTTATTAAAATTTTCATTTTAATGTGAGATGCATATAGAATTGGATTATGCGAATAAATTCTTCAGCAGTAGAAAGTATGGAAACGATACCTCGTATGATGAGCGTAGGGGCTGCATTTGGTACTTTACCAATTATTTCCTCTATAGTCAGTGTATTCTGCAAGTGTAAAAAATATGATTCTAATCAATTATGTTAGCACGATTTGACATGAACATTACGATATGAGCGATCCTTTTTTTTATTGGAAAGTACATGCAAAAACAAGGGAAATGAGCATAACCGGAGCTCCGCTACTTAATTATTGACGGAGATATTGGAGTTCGTTTTTTCGTTTTTGGGGAGCAAAAATTGCGCTTATTTCTCTTGTTCATGCAGGTACTTTTCGATAAAAAACAAAACAGAATTTCAAAATTCTAGAGGCAATATTTCATATACGGATTTGGTGAAATTGCTGATATGATAAATTTGTTACTATCTACCTCCACAATGATGAATAAAAAATCTCGATCTTCCTCGAAGTAGTACACTATCAATGGGAAAATGACAAGTGTAAGTGAAAGTTCACTCCGTGTATCATTTTGGGATTGCCGTTTTTCCTCTTTTATGGTATTCTTCACAAATGGATCTGGTAATTCAATACCTTTCTTCTTGGCGATAAATATTTTAGTCACGTATTCATATTTAAAGAAATTGCGAATCTTGGTAACTTTTCGGAGATTACGACGCCAAATTTCATTAACCTCGATCCCCAACAACTGTTGAGCATGTGCTACCAGTACTTTGTCATTATTCAAAAATGGCCATTTTTGGAACACAGATTGAGTGAGACCACTTCCCCTGCTGCAATCATTTATCACACCACGTTGTGTCGGATAGGTATCATTCATCAGTTGTTTGACTTCGCCTTCGAAAATATCAGGTGAAGTTTGATAAAGCGTGATTAATCGTTTGCGTTTAGTTTCTTGGGATGAAGGGGTTTCTCCTTCTGGAAGTAGTGGCTGGTAATCCACACATCCATACTCATCCTGTTTACGTGGCGTTGTTTGAGGCAAGGGTCTTGCGTTTTCATCGTCATCGTCGTTATCTGAATATAACGCACCTAGGGCCCGTGGTCTCTTGGTACGCTCTTTCGCCTTTCGATAATTAATTGCGGTGTAAATATGTGCAGACAATGATTCCCAGCCAGCCCCAAGATTTATTTTATCAATTAAATCGGCAAAAGTGTCCGGATACTTTGAACAGATGGTTTTAGCGATCACTACGGCTGTACCCCTTGAGGTGTCTCCAAGTATGTCAAACATGTAATTACATATACTCTTCGCGACATCTCTGCGTTGGTCATCTGTTGCGCGCCTCTTCTCTTTCGCAACCTCTAACAGAGCTGGTGAAAAAGTATCCCACAAGTTTCGGTCATCTTCCCGTGCTGGTTGAGATTGAACGGTCGGTGATGAAGCAACCGCTGCTGTGACGCCTATAGACAATATAACATGATAATAAAAACATCTGATTCTTCTGATTATTACTGGAGTGATCTCATTTTTCATACACAAGTATAGCAAATCTACTTATTTTTTTTTTGCAGCATTTTTCTACGATATTGATTAATTAATTGATTGTCATCCATCATAGTTTGTCTCACCTGATGTCGAGGGCTGAACCAGTCCAGTCGCGTACTTAACTGCATCAGGCAATACCATAAGTGTTAACGTTATAGCTGAATTATTAGCCATCTCGAGCAATACTCCATCGTTATCGATTTCTGTGCCATCCTCTTGTAAGACCAACTATGTTAACGAAAATATTTAACTTTATATTAAATTTTTCACAGAAAATATTACATGATGATACAGCTTGAACAATTTCAATGTCATTCTCACTAGGTTGCATTCGATGAAAATAGTAGGGGAAACATTCGTGGACCAGAGATGTCGTCACTAAAGGTGATGAATGTTACCCGTAAGACCAAATATCCGGGCGATAAAATTTAATGTGTTATATGAGGAGGGGTCGGACTATCTGAGCGATTGGGATATGATGATATTCATCAGAATGATAAATAAGATGAAAACTTCGATGGAGGGCAGTAGGTCCATGCAATGAGAGTAAATATTTTGGGGAGAATTACTGTTTCCATTGTGACGAGGCATATTCATTTATTTTTTATTATTTTTATACATATTTTTTCCCAACACACACTGCCCCCTAAAACATAAATCCCGCCGCCGTTGGGTACCTTTCCCCTAGTTATCCCCTCCCCCTTTGCCCCTCCGCCATCGCCCCTGGACTCAGCAACGACGGCAGCCGAAGGAAGGCAACAGTTCCGGCCCTACTTGATCAGCTGAAGGAGCCGTTGCCCCCCCCCCCAAANCTTTCGGAAATAGCTTGGGATAGGTTTGGTGACTTTTGACTTTGTGACGAGGCATATTTATTTATTTTTCTATTATTTTTACACACATTTTTGCCCAACTACACACTGCCCCCTAAATAGTAAAATCCCGCCACCGTTGGATACCCCTTCCCTCGATTTTCCCCGCATTACCCCTCTACCCTCGCCCCTGGAGTCTACGACGACAGCCGCCGAAGGAAGACAACAGTTCCGGCTCTATTTGATCAACCGAAGGAGCTGTTGCCCCCCAAAACCACCCATACATAGGTCCAGACAACCCACCGCCCTCGATAATCCCCATCGACACATCCCTGGATGGTGACTGTGGACACAATCTACCCACCATGATTGGCCCCGATCACCCACGAAGATGACCAGAAGGATCTCGACTATTCGCGAATCCTCACGAACGAGACGAAGGAAAAGACGGAAGAGAGAAGAAGCGGCACTCGTGTAACCGCTGTCCTGGACACTGCCACGTGCGCTCCAAGTTAGGCGACGAGAAAGTGCAAATACCCCGAAGTCTGTACATTGGACCGTTGTGTTGGTGAAAAGAGGATTTTTGGTGCCCGAGCTCATCCCGGCTCTAGATACTGTGCCCCTGGAGTCAGAGATGAGAAGTTGCGGAAGGACCAGGATTAGTTTTTGGAAGTCCAGACCACACCTGGAAGTCGTGAGTACGAGTTGTCCCCCTCATTTCCCCCTCGCCTGAAACAATATTTCTTTCCATTCCCCCCCAATGGTGAGCCTATACTCTCTTGTTTTTTCCCCTTTAGTTATTATTTGGATATTTAGTTGCATTCCCTCGACACGACTAGCTTCTCCCCTTTTATCTGCATCAGAGTCATCCCCTTTTTATGTGTACAAAAGTTGCCTGGCCTCCCCCACTCCCCTAGATCTCAAGTAAAGGCCTTTTTGACGTGTTCTGACGATCTATTAATTGTAAAGTTCAGAGAATATATTTCATGATTTAAACTTAACCCCTTATTTGCCCTCTTTTTTCAATTACCCTCTCATCATTCCAGGGATTAATTTAATTGAAATTAGGAAAAGGTCACACCATGTAAAGAATATTATTCATGCATAACAAATATACTTCTCATCGCTGAATTCCAGGGATATCATGATTATGTCTCAATTAAACCTCAAGAATTTCGAGGAACAGAAGTGCAACATTTAGCGTTTCAGTTATTACAAGAAAAAAATTTTCAGTTATTACACGAATATTCAATTGCAAAAACATAAATACTACATTTGAACTTTTCAATCATTAAATAATCAAAGTAAGTTACAATTGAATGTGATGATATGGATATCACAGCGATAGACAATGCCGTCATTTTCTGAATAAATGCAATACCGAATGTCATTTGAAATAATTTTTACCTGGTACTTTTCGCCCGTTAACTGTAATTTCTCTTTAGCACTGGTAATTGCTTCAGCGATTGTTTCTGCTCTGATGAAGATCCTTCGTGATTCATCATGTGGAACGACTTTGAATAATCCCATCGTGCTATTTACGATTGCAGTAACCTGCAGGATCAACGTGACGGGTGTAGGTGGTGAAAGTTCGTTGTGATATTAATGTTAATTCCACTGCGGAGTACTCAAGAATCAATCACTTGTAGAGTCCTCAATATATGACAATCTTCCTGTTTTTTCTTATGTTTTCGTTCTGAAATTCGTTCAGCAAAATTTTTTGAATTTGAGTTAAATGCTTTTTTAACAAGGGCATAATTTGGTTTAACGTACAAGAAAGATCCAGTATTATAAATAGTTAATTTTTCGCTGCTACAGAGCTCATCAAATTTAATGCATGCATATCTCAGGCATTTCCCCAGCTGATAACTACGCAATTATGGCAAAAAACGATTCTCTAAAACTTCCACAATAAAATGTATTTCATTTCTCTCATCGTCATGCAAGACGATAATTATGCGACCGATCTCAATTTTATACTCATAAGAAGTCTGTGATATGAACACAGCATTTCCCTTTCCATAAAAAATACCTTTTACAATGATACGAGAGCATTGTTGGAGTTTAGAGGACCATTGTTTGCTAATAACAACATCCCTAATTTTTTCATTTTAATGATTAACATTAAAAAGTTCGCTATTGCAGGGGGTAACGACATTTCGGAGATCTCCACCCATACGTAAATAGCTTTGATACATTTCGTACTTGACCGCAGCTGTTTTTGTTAGATTACTGAAGTTCTTAGTGCTGCGAATTACATTTTTAAAGAAGGAATGTTTGCTTTTGAAACGAAGCGTCCACGATTTTATCAGCGGTCCAAATTGTAAGATTAGGCTTGGGTAATGCTGCAAATAATGATGCTTTGGACGAAATCATTGACCCACTTTCTTTCGCAAAAAAATGTACTCACTAATCAATTGGTGCAAATATCCAAGGAAAGACTTGTGTATTTCAGGGGCTATTATTATCTCTATTATTTCAGTTGATAATATTATACTACGCCACATTTCGTTCTCAACATCTGTGATTTTGTCGCTGATGAACAGAGGTAACAATTTCAAAAATGTCCACAATTGCCAAGCAGCACCAGTGATCTTTTTGGAATTTTGAGATACTTTACAAGGTTTATCTCTGCGATCTTCAGTGGAGTATGGAAATGATTCTATTCTGTCGTTCAATTTCACATAAGTTAAACATTTATATTTTTTAACGAGAACATCCAAGAATATTCTCACATCGTACGTAATCAAACATTCGAACAGATCATGAGCAAGACAGGGAGGTAAACCTGGATTACACACGCGATAAAACTGTAAGCTATTGAATGCTGAATTGAATTTGATGCCATTTGCATCGAACGTACCATTATCCATGTCTTCAATATGATCAATTTCCATAGCATCATTCTTTTGCATAGTTTCAAGCTTTCTAAATACTTCATCATACATTTCAGGAGTTCTAGCCGCATAATTTTTGGTTTCTCCATTTTCGCCAAAGTACTCTCCGCGTGTCACCAAACAATAACGACAGAAATAAGGGGCTGTACTGAAATTTTCCGTAAATCCTCCAAGACTGTGACTACCGAGATTATCGCCCGCGATAAAGACTAGAGTACCCTTCACCACTTTCCCGGATGACAACGTAATTCCGTACTCTTCTATTGTTTTCAAATCAGCAATTATCTTTCCGTATACCATATCATGTTGGAAATTAACTTCTTTACAAAGAGCAACTAATTGGATGCAATTTATGTGCGACCTTAGATGGGCTGGTAAATTCTCTATTAATAAGTAGACGGCCAGTATTTTATGTTTAGTTTTAGCTGATCCCAAAGGCTTCGATACCTCAAAACTATCTTGGTAGAGAATCAAGCAAAGGGCATCGGGATTTTCTTGAAAAAATTTATTATTTTTATATACCAGACCGTCTGTAAAATCACTAAGTACGTTATTATCTGTATTTTCAACGGTGTCATCCCAATGGGTACCCCACGATTTGCTACCCAATGAATTTATCGATGTCTTCTCAATAGGAACCTAATGAAAGTATTTATCACGATTATGACCTTCATAACATTTAATCTGTTGGGGTTCGACGTATGGAAATTGTGTCTAGGGAACTATTACAGGCTTTCATTGGAAAACTATACTTTGGTCGTGAAATAAGAAAAGTAGCTGCTTCTTTATTCTCTGCTTGTTATCATCGCATAAAGTGAACATTTGGGATGCAATGTTTTGGACGGTTGATAATGGAATTCTGAAGAGGGTTTCCAATTTAAAAAAAAACTGAGTCCATTCAATTGAAACTGCGCACTCATCATCTACGATCTGCGATGTTTCATCATTCTCATTACCGTTATTACCTTCAGCACACGGAAGTGTTGCAGGTATTTCACAAATATTATCATCGTTAATACATATTGCCCTATCAACATTATCATTGCATGGCAATGGTTCCCGCACTTATTCCCTAAGGAAAAAAACTTCCGGAAAAAATTTCCCGCAATTATTTTTTTCCGGAAAAAATTACTTGGGAAATTTCTTTTCCCGAAAAAAATTACTTAGGAATTTTTTGTTTCGGAAAAAATTACTTGGGAAAATTTTTTTCCCGGAATTTAATTCCTTTTTTTTTACTTCCTTGGAAAAAATGTCAGAAAAAAAAATAGAATCCATTTTTTACATAAAAAATGTACAGAAAATAATTTTGACAGAAGTTCAGGGAAATTTTAGACTTAATGGGCATATTTTGGCTGTAGATTCTAGCTGGAAATGTATTGAATGGTGCGATAGTAAAATTGACGTTGGAAGGGATAGCGACAATCGACTGGAGATTAATTTCCCCCACTTATTAATAATTAATACATTAATATTTTTTTGACTATTATAATATTTACAATTATCAACAATTATTATTTTCCGCAATAAAAAAAGAAAGAATTACAATCAAATGTGACTGGATAAGTTATTATTTCCCTAAAAAAGTTATTTTTTCCCAAAAAAATTAATACCGGAAAATTATTTCAAAAAAAAAATTTGCCAAATAATTTTTTCCGGAAAATTTTTTTTCTCAATAGTTTTTTCCGGAAAAAATTTGTTCACAAGTAATTTTGAGAAAAAAGTATTTTTCCGAGAGATTTTTTCCAAAAGATTTTTTCCAAAGGAAAAAAGTGCGGACACCCTTTATTTTACTTCCCGTGGTTAGAACGCGATTTTCCGTCTCGGCGTAGGCGTAAAGTCAGAGTTCTCTCCCGCGAAGCGGGATCAAATATTTGAACTGGCGCAATTGAAATACCGTTGACCTGTCCAGGAAATCTGAATTTTCAATGATGAAATCAATAAAAAATTTCATCGAAACCAAATTGTGATCAATATTTCTACAAAAATGTACTGCTAATTCTCAAGAGATCATAATAAAATTCAAAACTGATTCTAATTTAGAACTCAAACGGGATTACTTTCTACCCATGGTTCCCTTTTACGCGATGGGCCTCCGCCACCCCCTCCCACCCCCAGTGCATGTAACTCATTTTGTCCATTTTGCCCCGTCCTCCACTAATTGCTGAACAGTCTTGAAAAACGACAAAAAAAAGAGATTTGGAATTTTAAACTGTTCTACTATTAACAAAATTAGAACTTACCTGAGATTCGATGGATATTTTTCAACCTGTATGAAGGTTGAGTGATAAGCGATGTTGCAGTGATACGCAAACATTTGTTGACAATTGTGAACAGTTCAAAAAAGAAGGATTTAAATACGACGGATAACTTTTCAATTAAAATCACTGGTACCGGCACGGGTTGTACGTTCGGAGGGTTACGAGCGATCAGCGTCGAATGACGGGATGAAGCTACGTGTGTAGGCGTCTCGCCGATCGTCGGTGATGACGTCAAGTTTCTCAGAACAAATCTCGATATCTTATACGTACCCGATCACAAATATCACGAATCTCCATCACATTAGTTATATTAATATATAATAATTTATAAGTTTACTTACCTTCAGGCAGTTTTCAGCGTACGCAACACTTTAGAACAATTTTTCCAAAGTTTCTCCCCAATTTAACATTTCAAAAACGTAAGTTAACAATTATCAATAATGACCTAGAGTTACATTTTTCAACTTATCATATTGGGGACGCGAAATACCGATGGCGGCGCTGGAATCACCTCAATATGGTGGCTTAGCCCTCTAATCTATAGTTGATGGTGCATATTTTCAAAACAAATGTAACGTGGTAAGGGGACAGGTCTTAAATACTTTTTTCTTGGCACTACTCGTCGTATTAATATTCTTTGTTTCCTCCATTTGTTCGATATTTAATAGCTAATATTTGATGAAATGAAATAAATATAAAAATTGGAGCAACAAAACAACAAACAGCAGTCACTTCGCACATGCATATCCACGTGACTTGAAGCCCTCTTTTCCGCCATATTTTTTAATTGCCGCACGCCTCACCAGGTATCGCATTCTTATCTCGCGTCCCCAATTGCGAAATTAGGTACGAATGATATTCAACTATGACATTTTTGTTATACGTTTTACAAGGAAACCATTAACGGATTAGAGATATGGAAAAACATGCAAGAATACTTAGTTGGAGGCTGAGTTTTTGAAATATATGTGGGCCATTCCACCAAATATCGTATGCAAATCTGGCCTTAAAATTTTCGATAATTTTTTTTCGTTTTTTTGTACTCCTTATGTGTGGAAATATAGATCTCGACTAGGAGAGCTCCCGCACTTCAATTGATGGGGCTTCGCAGGCTTAGACGATTTTCCCTCAAAATTATTCAATCGAACTAAACATGGTAAAATATGCTCAGAAAAATAAATCGAAACATAGGTTTTGATCGTAAATTTTCTGAATATTCAGAAAATGATGTCAAATTTTTCCTCCCACCCCTCCTTCATAGCGAAAATCGAAAAAGGAAACTTAGAACGTCGATTTTGGCAACTTCCCCACTTTTTCTCGGAATTTGTTTTTTTTTTTCGAAAAATTCAGGAAATTTCCGATTTAAATCGTAGTTGAGTAGTGTTCACTCTTATGATGCTGAATTAATGAAAAATAACAAACAAAAACATGAATTCCCGAAAAATGATAATATTATAAAAAACAACGATATTTTCATGGAAAAATGTCGTTATTGTTCTGTAATATTGTCATTTTTCATGAAAATATTATGCTCTCTCCATAATATCATTGTCTTTCAACAATTCATTTTTTAGTCGTTATTTTTTATTAACTCAGCATCATGAGAGCGAACACTGCTTAAATACGATTTCCATCGGAAATTTTCTGAATTTTTTGAAAACAAAATTAAATTTCGAAAAAAAAGTGGTGAAGCTGCCGAAGTCGACTTTTTCAGTTTTCTTTTTCCATTTTCGCCATGAAGGAGGGGGGGGAGGGAAGAATTGACATCATTTTTGGAAAATTCAGAAAATTTCCAATCAAAAACTATGTTTTGATTTTTTTTTCTGAACCAATTATATCACGCTTAGTTCGATTGAACAATTTCGAGTGAAAATCGTTTGAGCTTGCGGAGCCCCAACAGTTGAAGTGCGAGACCTCTCCCAGTCGAGAAATCTTCTTTTCTACGCGTAAGGAGTACGAAGAAACGAGCAAAAAAGTATTGAAAATTTTAAGGCCGGATTTGCTTACGATATTTGGCGGAATGGCCCATACCCTAATGTACGGAAAATCGCCAAATGTTCGTCATAATTTTTTTTGGAGCTTCGCAATCCTCTGACGAATTAACACTTGAACACTTCTCCTTCTTTCCTCCTAGAATTACGCTCTGCTTAAAAAAAAAAAAAAGCAAAAATGTGCGTCTTATATAGCTTTCATGATTGAATTTCTCATTTTCACAGAAAAAAGTCATAAAATAAAATGTAAAATTATATAATAAAAAAGCCAATAAAAAAAATTGTCCACCAGCCGGATAATCAGGTAGGTATTAGTTAACCCACATTAGAAATATACTTTAGTAATTATCATTATGACTCCGCTCAATTAACGTTTATGTCAAACGCAAAAGCTAGCGCATCAGAGGCAGTATATCATCAGTGCCGTAAGTGCGATCTTTGTGCAAAAAATGTGCCAGTATGGGAGTCACTCGCTGCCAAACGTACGCCTCAAATGATAAGTGTTTTATTGCCACTAGCTAAACAGAGAGCTTATTCCTCATAAAATCCTTTTCTTCCCTTGAGGTGTGAGTGCGTGCACCAGGTTCCTCACCCTGGCTATCCGTTTTTTGGTTACGCACACTCTTATAATGAAGGAACAACACAAGAATGATACTTCTGTTGAGCCACCCAAATGGTCCCTGTATAAAAGTCTGATATTCCTCTCCATTCTATGTCGTGATGATGTGGATGTTTTTGATCTGGAAACCCTCTCTGAAACGTCGTCTTTCTGCTGTATGAATTCCTAATTAATTATGTCGATCATTTCTCCAAGAACGAACCTCGAAGATGATCAATCCATTCTAACATTTTCCCCTACTAAATATATATTTGCAATATTGAAGAGCCCCCGCCATTTTAGATGAATAAAAACGATTCAATCTCATTTGTTTAAAATCTCAATTCATTGATTCGATTTCAAAATATACGCAAAAAAAACTAATTAAAAAAAAATAGATCTTCCAAGAATACCCACGTATTTTTGACATTTGCATAGAATTGTCATTTTTTTAAACATTCCCTCATAAATAAATGATGGAAATTATTTACACTCTCCAAAACATTATTGTAAAATGTCCAAACACTTAGGGTCAAATGTGAAGCTCAGATGGAAGCTATTAATTCATATTTTCTTTCTTCTTTTACGAGTTTCAGCGTTTTGGAATGAAATGTGACTGCTTTTTCTCTTATGTACACTGTTGTCATCGCTCATAGTATTCCAAAAATACTCTCCTAGCATTTTAATTTCATTTTTTCCTTGATACCATCGCTCCAGCTTAGCGATGTCCTGGTGAAAACGTTCCCCATGCTCATCGCTGAAATCCGCAAGGTTCTCCGGAAAAAAATCCAAATGATCGCGCAAAAAGTGAACTTTAAGCGACGTATTACAGCCTAGTATACGAAAATTTTCCAACATATCCTTAACAATTTTCCGGTATTCTGGTGAACACTAGCTGCCGAGGAACTCCTGGATAACTCGCTTCAAGGAATGCCACGTTTGTCTCTCGATTTCGGTCAGTGTCTCTTCGAAATCGGTATCATTCTGCATCAGTTTTCCTATTTGGGGCCCCACAAAAACTCCCTCTTTTATTTTTGACATACTCAGTTTCGGGAACAGCTGCTTGAGGTAGGTGAATGCTGGTCCCTCTTTCTGAAGCCCTTTTACAAAATTCTTCACCAACCCAAGTTTTATGTGCAGAAGGGGTAAACAAATTTTCTCTCGTTCAGCAAGTGGAATTCGAAGGATATTCCGCTGACCTGGAGTGAAGCTTTGACGTGGAGCCCAGTTCACCGTGGAATAGTGATTCTTCCTATCACGACTATCCCACTGACACAGAAAGCAGCAGTACTTGGTGTAACCAAGTTGCATCCCCAAGATGAGAGCAACCATTTTAAGATCTGCACAGATTCGCCATTGGTGTTGTTTGTATTCAATCTTGTCCAATAGAAATTTGATGTTGTCATGAGTTTCTTTCAAAGATCTGGAGTAACCAATGGGCACTGAGGGGTAGATATTCCCATTGTGAAGGAGTACGGCTTTCAAGCTACTGGAAAAAGCATCAATGAAGAGTCGCCAATGCTCTGGGTCATGTTCGACTCCTAGGCTCTTCATCAAGCCATTTACGTTATGACAGTATGCTAGACTTTGTTCATCACGGAAAAATTGGTTGAATTTCACCAGGGATATCAGGAGGTGGCGGATGTTCTTCAACAACTTCTGCTTCTCCAGTTGGTACTGGAGGCACATCGTCATTTCCAAATGGGATAAACATTGAACAAGAGGAAGGAGAATCAACAGAACGGACATCTGGATACTTGATGTGGCATTTATTGTTCCTCGAGTATCCGTGCACATCCGTCAAACAGAAATAACAATCTGTAAGATGCTCGCTCTGTTCATGCCACGTAGCTGGGACATTAAATGTAACCCTCAGTTTTTTTGTTTGAACTGAAAGCATTTGCTTGGAGTCAATGGTTTGTCAAGATTTGTAATTTTTCTATTGAAAACCTTTTTATAGGCTTCCTTCAACCTCGTTGTGAAATTCTTCTGTTGCAACGCTGGCGTGAATTTTGCACATACGTAGCAAAAAGAATCGACTGAATTCTTACATTTTCTCGACATGATTTTCCATTAGAGAAACCGACCGAGACTATTGACAAATTTTCTGGTATTAACAACTTCATCCTGAACATTCTTTTGTTCATGATCCTCCCAGAGGTCAATCGGTTTGCGGTAATTTCGTTCTGGGGTAGGACGAAATTGCCTTGTCGAGAAATATCTCCGAATAAAAGAGAAATCCACGCACTAAAAAATTTCAGAGCAAAAACGTAGAGATTTCGCTAGACAATTCTATTAAATTTCTATCGATTCTTTTATGAGTTTTGGCTGATGCTATTGAAATGGTTAATGGAAATTATAAAGTCGATACAATTCAATTTTGCTATACAACCTATTCTATTGGGATATTTTCTATAGAGTTTCCTCAGCTCGAGTTTCCTAAGTTTTT